CATCATAGTAGCCAAGTGTCTGGGCATCGCTCGTAGGAGAACCCACCAAGGAATGAAAACCTAGCGGAGATTCCCAAATTGCTCAAAACCAAATCTGAACATGGAGGGCTTAGAGCACGGTGGCCACTGTTCTGAGCAACCTCTCCACGGTAGAGAATGCTCTCAAGTTAGCCAGGGAGGTCCAAAGCAGAGGACACTTGGGGCAGCCTGTCTATAGCCCTCAAGACAGGGCCTGCATCCCCAAAGATAAGGAATCCTAGAAATTCCAGGTATGCACCACCAGAAATATGTATTTGTACCCTCTAGAGTAGGCCACCAAATGAAAACTTCTAATGCCATTGAACTTATGGTACAAAGATACATGCATGAGAAAAGACTAGCAGCGAAGGCCTCTTGAGCGGCAGAGGGACCAGTAACAGGTTAAGTTCAACGGGAAAAGCAGCCGCAGCATGCTGGTTGGCTTGACCGAATACAGCTTCTGTGCAGAGTCATAACTTAGGGATGACACCTGTAAGTCGGCTGTCCTGAACCTCAAAGATGACAACTGTGTGAAGTCCAGTATGGTTTTGTGACTCAGCACAATGAAGTCAGACAAATTCGTGGTGCCATCTATTGTCTGAAAGGTCATCACGGTGAAGGTGCTGATGGACAGGTAAGAAAGGAGCAGATGCCTGCATTGGCCTCTTCTTCCCCAAGTGGCCTCAGGACTGCCCCCCCCCCCGCCCTCTGTCTGTTTATCCACGGCCTCCTCCGCTGCTCACCTCAACCCTAGCTCCATACAAAGCTCTCCACCTTCAAACAGATGATTCCTGCCTTCTGGGTTAGGAGCTGTGTCAGATGCCAGCTGGTGAAGGTAACGGAAACCCTCGCCCTTTCCCATCTATCACATGTAGAGCACCAGCAGTCCCCAGGAGCCGCTGTGCCCCCATCACCTCACTTTACTCACTTACTATTGAGTCTAAAATTTGAACCCCATTGATTTCGAAAGCTCTGGCCATCCACCCACTTCCCTCCAGTTTCCCATTGAAATTTCAATCCACACGAACTTGACTTTAAACAACAGAAAATTTGTTGGCCATGGCCAGATCATAAAAACAACCACCACTGTGCAAACCAGAAGTCTGTGGGTGGATGGTTCCAGATTCGCCTATAGCCAAGCGTTGGGAAACTCATGGTTTCATGAAGGCTGCTAATGCAACACACACACACACACACACACACACACACACACACACACACACACTAGCTTTCTATGGTGGAAAACCCCTGAAGACGCCAGTAGATTGCCCCAGGTCAAGCGGGGCGGGCCCACAGGGCTCCTGCTCTGAGGGAGGCAGGTCAAGAGAGATGCTGGCCAAGGACAACAGGCTGTCACACCTGGCTTCATGGCCCAGTGGTGAGCACACAGGGAATGCAGAACAACGGGAGTCACAATTGTCAGAGTAAGCCAAGACCCCTGTCACTACTGTCACCTTCAGTCACCTGCCTCCATTCCTGGCTTTGCTCCATGGAAGTAAACAGAGCTGTGGCTGGTTGTTCTGACCATAGCTCCTGGACAGTGAAGCTTTGTAGCCAGATAAAATCTCCATGTTCAGCAGAGCCGACCAGCCTCACCAATGGCTCTTCCCGAGCTTCTCCCCTCCCCTCTCCGCTTCCCTCTTCCATCCTGAAGCTTCACCTCCACAGCCTCCTCTCTGGTTACTCAGTGACAGCGGTTCATTCATGCCTGAGGGCCTTAAGAAGGGGTCACCTTGTTACCCAAGTATTCATTCCTTACCAAATGCCACTCCACTGAGTCTTTCTTAACTTAGGGGTCTCTACTATGACATGACTTTCACTGAAGGATCTCAGGAAGTCATAGCCTTTAACATCATAATCTTTGACTTTGATGAAATTAGCCTAGAGAATCACCCAGATATGTGTGTGTGTGCGCGCGCGTGTGTGTGTGTCCATTTCTTTTATGTCAGTCTCTTTGATTAGACTGTAAACATCCCAAAGGTTGACTCTTCTGTGTGACACACCACTGAGACACCAGCACTGCGTGTATCAAGAGGTCATGAACCCAAGTGAATTCATTAACTAAATGCTTCAAAAGTTTCATGCATAAACTTAACCCCCAAGTTCCTGTTAGTCCTGCTTAGAGGTGGGATCTTTGTGAGGCAATTGCAACTATCCAGGACATGAGGGTGGGTGTTGCAAGATATTTGATCACACAGTATAAAGACATACCACTTTGACTGGTTTACTAAAAAGCTGAATGGCTAACAGCTAGGCAGAATTTCCAGGAGCAGAGGATGCTGGGAAGAAGGGCAGGATGCACAGAGTTTCCAGTCAGGCATGGAGAAAGCAGGAAAGCAGCATGGGCTGTAAAGGTAATCAAGTCATGAGGAAGAATGTAGACGACTAGAAATGGATTGATTTAAGTTATAAGATCTACTTCGAAACAAGCCTAAGCTATTGGATAAGCTTTCATAATTAATAAGAAGTCTCCATATGGTTATTTGGGAGCTGGCTGGTGGGACAGAAAAAGTTAGACTATAGATAGGGCATCAGCAGCAGCAGCTTAATAAGAAAAGGGGGAGTGGTCTAAGCTAGCATGTTTGCTGCATGTTGCCATGCGACTCTGCATGTTGTGACATAGCAAGAAGTCCCTTACCAGATGTCAACAGCACATTCTCAGATCTGCAACCCCCCAGAACTGGAACCCCAAACAAGCTCTACTATTTACAAGTTACCTGGCCTCAGGCAGTGTGTTACAGTAAGACAGGGTTTAAAGTGATTAGTAAGTGAACTGGACCTTAAAATATGAACTTGTGTCAAGGGAGGAGGAAGGTCAAGTGAATGGGTGTTCTGAGAGTGGTCCTGAGAAAATGTGGATTCTGGCCAGGCCCACATAGACATCGTGATATGAGTAACTATAGAAAACTGAGCGACACACCTATGCTGACAAAAGCATGTCACTGAGATACCACTCTCAAACTCTTGTAAGGGCTACATTCTCCGGGAGCTGTAGGACCCTGTGCCAAAGTGAAGCAGAGGTGACCTGTCTGCCTGGCAGCCTGGGAAAAAGCCAATGGTTCGCTAGCTCTCCCAATCCCTGGTCTTCTTGTAGGCAGATGGAAACCTGAGGAGGATCTGGCACATCGGCATAACTGCCCACCCTGCCTTTCTGTGATGCTGCAGGGAGAGAAGCTGGATGGTGTCCCCGAGAAACTTCAGAGATTGAAAGGAATCGCTGCTGTGTCCAATATCCACAGCTCCTCTGCAACCAGCATTGTCAGCAGGGAGACTGAACTTGTGACCAAACTTGGCTGCACACTCCATTGGGGGTGTGGCTCTAACCAGTCATCCTTGATTGCTCCAACATGGTAGCTCACCATATCCTCAATAGGCAAGGAGAAGTCCATGCAGTGTGAAGCTCTGAGCATCCCAACAGTGAGAGAACGGGACACAAAAGATCACGTCAGGCCATGAGACTCTCTCCCCGCTAAATCTCGCTGCATCCTTTCCAGGTGTTGATGAGCGAGACGGCTGTGAGCCATGCTTCCTCCAGCCACTGTCCCAGTTCTGCTGTGGTGTGAGTCTCATCTGTGCCTTCCCTTGAGAACTCGGGCCTTGGAATTTCTGCTGACATCCAGGTCCATGGGACAACCACATTCATTTAGGTGCCCTTTGCTTCCTTAAAGAGGAGCAGCATATTTTAAAAGCTGGTGCCCAGCCTTCACATGGGCAGAGGGGTTGTGGACTGAAAACTACAGCAAAGTTGTTCCCACTAAACACTGATAGACTCCACTCTCTGGAACTGTTTTCTAAACAGCCTGACTTCAGTTGACCACACAGCACTAGGCAATCCAGAGGGGAGCACACACTCAGTCCAAGTTGCCCACTTCACACCTGACAACACATACAT